CTCATAGATACAGAGAACATTTTGATGGTTGCCAGATAGGAGAGGGTTGAGGGAAAGGTGAAAATGTGAAGGGATTAAGAAGGACAAATTGGTAATTACAAAATAGTCATGGGGATGTAAAGTATGGCAAAAGGAATATAGTCAATAATATTGTAATAACTACTTATGGTGTCAGATGTGGACTAGATTTATTGGAGTGATCATTTCATAAGTTATATAAATGTCTAATTACTATGTTGTACATCTGAAATATAATATTGTATGTCAAATTTAATTGAAAAATAAAAATATTAAACACGAAAACTATAAATCAATAAAATTATAATAACTCAGTAGAAAATTAAGCAAGGAATATGAAGGTAGAGACAAAAAATTGGCTTATAAACACGAAAATATGCTCAAATTTATTCATTAAGTTAAAATTAAAATAGCAAAAAGATATTTCAGACAATTAGAGTTAGTTTCTTACACTTGCAACCAAGAGTCCTGATAAGTATATTTGCAAAAGTAAGCCAAGACATAATTATCTATGAGCATGTTCACTTCAGTATTGCCCATAATAGTGAAAGATTGAAACAACTTAAATATTCACCAATTGTGAACTGTTTACATAAATCATTGTATTTTAATACAATGCAACCATTAAAAATAATGAGTTTATATGGAAGTATCACCAAGATACATCGAGGGAAAGGAGTAATTTTATAACAGCACGTGGAATATGATCCCAACTATGTTTTTAAAAAGATATGTGGTATATTAATACCAAAGGTTATTTTGGGGAATAAGAACTAAGGATTGGGAATGGAGGGAGAGTTACACTTTTTATTTTATATTTCTCTGTACCATTTGAAATCTTTCTAGTGTGTATTTATTTACATTTTAAAATTAAAGAAGCAAGAAAGAGAACAGTTTTGAATAGTCACCCAAGTAGTGTTTAAAAACTCAAATTGCTAGAAACCCAAGTGACAAAACAAACGTTCACAAATCACTGTAAATCAAGATTTCTTAAGAAACTAAAGAATCAAACTAAAAAGCTCTTGATGTGCAAAATGAGCAATTTTTCACCACAAGTAGCTATAATTCCAGCAAGAATTTGTGTGGAGTGATGTGTTGAGTAGAGTACCAGAGAGTAAGAATGAAGGGAGATACTTGGATCTAAAATGCTTTCAAATCCCTTCCAAAGGCAAAGTACTATGTTTGTAAAAATTTTGAAGACACAAAGGCTAACAATGGATAAAACTTTCATATTAACTATTTACATGAACTACAAGGATTACCTCTTTATATGTTCAAATCTTTGCTGAAAGTAGTAATCATACGGTAGATAAAATAATCCTAAAATAACTTAAATTCCTAATAATTTTATTTGGAGTTTCCATATCTCAAAATTCCGACATGGCTATGACTCATAACTATAAAAATGAAAATATTAACAATCATAATTATACTTTGACTTTAGGGAAATAAAAGAAAATTAGAATGATTAAATTTTATAGAACAATTAGTGATGCATATTTTAGCACTTAACATTTGTAATGTTTATTAACATACCGATTGTGACTACAGAGAAAGTTTTAACTGCATGCCAAATACGTAATGACAAGTTTTAAAAGTACAACATCTACCATATAGGTATTTTGCTATAAAATTAAATATCTTCCAAGTTCTTTCTCAATTCTAGGTTTTTTGAATATTTTATTTAAAATATCCTGTCAATGATCCTCACAAAATTTAATTCAATGCCATACATCTTAAGCATAATTCATCTTGAAAAATAGACATTTCAGCAGCTTTTCAAAATAAAAATTGATTGATAAACTTTGTATAAAAATAACTTCTCTATAAAAACCCATGAAAACCATTTTTTGATGTTCATACAAATACATGTAACACTATCACAGTTCCAGTACAGACCTTTGTATTCTAAGTTGCTCTTCCAACATCATGAACAGGTACAGGAGCACTTTACTGTTTTAAACTAGTTGTTCAAGAAAAAGTAAAACTACTGACTTATCTAGTTTCCTTTTATCAATAGTTCTTCACATTTTTTGTTGGTAACTAATGTTTAATTATTTTGTCAAATGCAGCTTCTTTTAATCATAGTAGAGTGGACAATTTTAATTTTGTGTTTTAAAAATTGCGAATGTGTTTTTTCAATGGAAACTTTGAAGAGTTTGTAACTAGCAAGATGACGCTTGAAAGATGAAAAGTGAAACAAATTTCTTTTTAAAAACAACAGGAAATAATTTGGAGAAAGGTCTTTTTTTCACCCACATCTAGGTGACATATGGTTGCAGTATGTCATGTTGCATTTAGCACAGATGAGCACCATAGACACTACTCTTACAGCAGAATGTGTATATTGTGCCAGCCAAAGTAGCGTTGGAATCTGGTATCCATTTGTGGAGGAAATTTATCTTCCCTTAGCTTTGAGCAGTTAAGATGGATATTCCTAAGGGAATGTGACCATATGTTTGGTATTTGAAAGAAGAAATTTGTTTCATTGGAAAGGGATAAGAGGAGATAGAGGAGCGTCATGGTTAGGGTCATAAAACCTTATTCTAGGTCCAGGATCACACACTGGTTTGGGAATTTCATCCATGTCTTTTTATTACTTGAGAATAGGTTTAAAAATAACATCTGTTCCTATTCCTCTTGTCAGTATGTAGCTCATCTCTAAATGAGAATATAGTTGAACAGGAGACCCCTACTTTTCTTGCTAAGTGTACTTCGATTTTTTTCATCTTTGTTCTTGCGGGTTTTAACCTAGGAAATCTATAATCTCATTAACCCTTAAAAATGATATGTCTTCAAATTAAGTTTAAAACCATAGTTCAAGTTATTAATTTCTGAGTTTCTTTTTCATGAAGTTCACATTTATAGAGACTGATTAGAATTGCAACTTAAGGCCTTTAAATGAAATATTCAAAATTCCTGATATACCCCTAAGTTTAAAAGTCTAAACCTATACATAGTTCAGCTCCTCTTCCTTAGATTTTTTTTTTACAGAATCTCTAGGAAGAAATGGAGACTATCCAACCACCCTGAAGTATAAAACATTCTAAATTTTACCTAAATTTTTATGAAAATCCACTATTTAATGGCACATAATTTTCATAAAGACCCAATAATACACAGTAATATGTCGGCGAAATGAACTTTCAAAAGGGAAAGTCAGAGCCCTAGAACACAGACAATAAATATAATCTAAATCTATATATACCAATAAGTCAAACTCTACCACTTCAGCTCTCTCCATGAAAGAAAGTCTTTTAGAATTTCAGTATTTCTTAAATGTTTTTGTTTTGGAACTGAAGCTGCACCGGGATGGTACTAATAATCTCAGGTTAATGTGCTGTCACTAAATCCTTTAACTCAGACCTGCATCACCCCAGTGGTCCTGGGTCTCCTGAATGCACCGTAGTGTACACATAGCGTGGCGAAACCTTGGGCTGACTGGAACATCTATCAGTTTCTCTACCATGTTGTTCTGGGGCCCAGGTCACAGGCAAAAGCTGTATCTCAGTGCACATGCTCAGTGTTTAGTCGCTAATTACATGCAGAGTGGGACAAAATGTAATTTTCTATCTCTTCTATAATGTACCTTCAATTAAATGTCGATGAGCAATATTAAAAATGGTTAACGTTTCCAAAACTTCCATATATGTTATTTCTTTCTGCTTCTTAATCTGTAAACCACTTAAAAATCAGTGAAAAAATTATTTTCTTAATTTATGTTTGTGTAGAACTAAGGCTTTCATACCACACTAATTATTCTGTGAGTTGATATGGGCCCTCAGTCTTTCTGTTGTAAGAGTTTAATCAACAGAATCCTCTTTCAGTCTAAGTATGAAACTGATGATCTTTAGCAACCCATAAGAATATTTTTTGAGAACTAAAGTATTTCTTTTGATGATGCTGATAATATTCAAATTCTTACTTATTGCCATTAAAAATCTATCCATGCAAGTTTCTTAATTTACTTTGTTGCCCAATATGCTGTCATTCTGTTTTCTTGCTATACCAAAAGCTGAAATAAACAAAAAACCTTCAAGTCTTTAAAGACAAAAACAACATCTGTGTAATTCTCACTTAATTTTCATCCAGCATTATATTTCCACTTAATAAATTTTATTTGATTGCACATCAGTTTTTGTGTTTTTGTTTAACAAATGGCAATGTAAGGAAGGTAGAGGTTAAAAACATGACTACCACTGAAAATATCTGGGTTTAAATTCTAGTTCCATCTTCCATTAATCCTGCAACTTTGGGCAAATTACTTAATCTCCTAATCTTTAAAGGGAGTGTAATAGTAGTACCTGTCTCATACAATTATGTTAATAATTGAATTAAAGTACGGAAAGTATTAAAACAATAGCTGGTTTACACAGAGAGAGAATGCTAAATGAGAAAAAAAATAGTGTACCTGCAAGTGGGAATGGAGAAAGACAATGATTCCAGAGCGGCATACAGTAACATTTAGCAACCAACTATATCAGAAAGTGTCTATGTCAACATCTTTTATAGAGAAGAGTTAAGAGACAGACATTGCTCATGTTGTCATCAAAATACTGGTTGTAGGTATTGCCATTCTAATAAGTGGTGTCATTCTATGGTACATATGTTAGATTTGACACAGAAAGATTGGTTTACTTGTCAGTCTTCACGACTATATCCCCTAGACCAAGGCTAGATCCTCTATCTGCGACATTTAGTGGCGTACCTTACACAGTAAGTGCTCAAGGCAAGTTTGTTAAATTGAAAAATCTTCAAATCACAGTCTGGCAGCACAAAATACAAATGCATCACATACTTTTAAAATGCACAAGGATGCCTATTAGGTACAAATATATGCATTGTATGTGTGTGTAATTTAGTGCAAAACAAAGACAACTCATATCCTTGAAACAACAGTAATAATTCACAAGTGTTGGTTTGAAATCTTTCAGATATAGGTGTAATTCAGAAGATTAGGTCTTTCTGCACAGGTGTAATGTTCACAAAAGATATATGTTAAGCTTATTTCTAACTAGAAACAAGTCACTGGAGACCTTTCCACTGTCGCTAGTTAATAGAATCATTGGAAGAGTCAGTCTACATTGCTAGGCTCATGACGGCTTTCTCACATTTTTTGTGTGTATATTACTGAGTGAAGACAAACAGATAACCATTAATTTTAGAATTTAAAATTTCGAATTTGACTCAGACCATTTTCTTTTCTCTCTCTTATCCACATCTATAATGGAACATATTACACATTTTATGACTCATTATAACATAATCTGAGCTGTTTCTTGATTAAAATTAGACTGTTAGATCACACATCTTATTTTCCATTATCTTCTGAGTTTGAGTGGAACAAGTCTGAAACTGAGGCATGTAAGATATAAAAGTCTTTTGACCAGAGGTTCCTACATTGAAGTTATTTTCTACAAGGTGTGAGCAACTGTCCTGGAGGATTCTGAGGTCAGTAAATAAACAGTGGGTGGGAAATGGGCATAACACCCTTGATTCATCAGTCAAAAACACAGCACTTTCTCTTTTTTTGATTGAGGTGACCCCTAAATAATAGACAGTTTTTTCATCATTATTTTCTTCAAGAAAATTTCCCTCAAGTTTCAAAAGTTTATCCAATTCTTCTGAGAATGTAAGGTGTGGTGAAATTATATTGGAATGCTGATCTGATAACATAAAAAGTGCCTGTGTTTCTAACTCCCATGAGCTATTTGAGAAAGAATCCTTTGATAGAAAATTTTTGTCAGAGAAGCATTTGCTCACTGAGCTATTTATAAGCCCTTGCTCTTCATCAGTTTCACCTGATTTAGAGTTGCTGAGCAGGGTGGCATATTTAACAGAGGATTGTCTCCTGCTTTCATTCTCACAGGTTACCTTGGTGCTCTCAGCCTCAGAGAAGTTAGCACTATTGCATTCGTCATTAATACAAATAGAACTTTTTTCAAGATCTGGAGTTGTGAAAAGTAGAGAGACCATAGCTGTTGGCACCTTCTCATCTTTATTTTTCCATGATGTATCAACACTGATATCTTCTGAAATGGTTTCAGGCTCCAAAAGAAGAGGGCCAAATGTCACTGATTCTGTATGCTTGATAAAAAGATGCTCAAATGTTTCTGGCTAAAAGAAAAGATACATTTTAATGGTCAATTGTATTAATTTTTTTTTTTTTTTTTTTTGGTTCACTGTGACATGCTTGAAGAGATGGAAGTGTGAAAGGTTAATGGTAAAGGACGTAGGTCAACCACAAATTAACTATTTTGGACTGAAACAGATATTTCAAAAATCATAAAGGAGAAGCACTATAAGCAATATAAGTCAGACAGAAAAAGTTGAGAACCATATGATTTCACTCATATATGGGATATAAGACTGAAAGCAAAAAACAAACAAGACAAACAAAAACTCATAGACACAACAGTTTAGTGGTTACCAGAGGGAAAGGGGGAGGGCAGGAGGTAAATTAGGGGTAAGGGGTCACCTCAATAAATATAATAAAAAAATATCACACATACAAAAAGGGGATGAGACTGATTTAGGTTTGAGTCCTTCTACTTCTATGGCCATGGGCAAGTACATTAATCTCTCCATCTTTTAGTTTCTTCATTTGTAAAAATGTGTTAAATACTTACTTCATGGAATTGTGATGAGGGATTAATTAAATAGTGTCTGAAAGTGCTTAGTTCTCAACAAAGATTGACTATTATAATTAGAAAATGCAATTTGCTGAAGAATTCCTAATATTTTATAGCAAATTAGATGTCCACAAACTAAAACTTTAAACCTCAAATAAAAGAACTAAATTGACACAAATTAAATGAGCAAAACCTGTCCAAAGATAGTTAAAATAATGATATAAGATATGATGCAAAGGTAAAATATTTGTGACCGACTATTAAAAACTTATACTGAGAATCTGTTGAAGACTATAGGAAAACAAGAACTAAGAATGCCTACTGTTGAAAACAATGAAAGTGAAAGAGATGATCACAGACTTTTAAATTACCATTCCTTATAAATAACTTCATATAAAAATACATACTATGGGACACGTGGAATGAAGACAAAGACACAAAATAAATGCACATTATATTTTTTATAAGAATAGTGGTTACAGTGCAACAAAAAATCCTGCCAAGCAGCTGCAAATCAAGAATCTATGCAAAACGCTCAACTCGTATAATGTAAACATACTGAAAAAATAAATGCAAAGTAAAGAATACTGTGGACACATCACGTTGAAAAATTAACAATTAAATGAAGCACTATAGAAAAATGTGTTCAATTTGTGTATCATACATATAATTGAACTTTTAAAAATTATTATTTTTAAACTAATAAAGTGAATTCAGATTTAGTGCCTGAAATAACAATATTCTCAGTTATTCTTCCTAATGCAAATAAATTCCATATAAAAACATAATTCATTTAGCATAGTTTTGAACTCTTAAATGAAATATGGTGATTATAATATTAAAGGAATAAATATACCAAACACTAAATATAATAATGGAAGAATTATACAGATGATAAAATACTGCATGATGACAATACCATGTTAACATAACCTTTTCTGTCATTCTATAAACATAATATATGAAAATAAATCTGTTCCTATGCCTAGTTTCTTTCTGACAGAAGTCGATAGCATGCAAACTCACCTATGTTTTTCAAATGATGTATTTGGCATATTTCATGCCCTCTAAAACTTCATAAGTGGTAACTAATTATTGATACCAAAAAATTTACATGTCTTCAAATGCATTCAGATGGAAGATTTTATAATAATTAATAGAAATCACATACCCATATATTATTGAAGTATATTTTATAAATGAGTCACAAACCTTTATTAAAAGTATGCTCACTAAAAAATCACTTCAATTACTATATGTGTCTAATTTTTTCAGATTTTAGAACAGTCTGAGAACACATTAAATATGTACTTAACTAGTAGGAATTAAAGAACGTCTTCCTAAATTCACACTTTAAAGAATATCTTCCTAAATTCACACTTAGATTTTACATTCCAGTGACATCTATTAAAAGTTAACAAAGGAGGAAAAGAATACATTTCTCCTGATTTTTAGTGTTATTTTTAAAAATTCAAATAAAACTGTGAGTGAACTCTAAATGCAAATGATCCATATAAAGCCTAAATTTGAATGTTATTTGGGTTCATCAAGCAGAAGCTTTGGCTTTGAATGTGAGTAATGGTTTTGAATGAGAGACAGCATGCTAAGTTCATAGAAACAGCAGGTAATCTTTTTCAGGGAGAAAAGTCTTGTCCTCAGCATGAAATATTTGTAAAAGCTCCAAGGAATCTCCCTTTTTGCATCACTGCCTACTTCCTTGCTTGCCAGAAGCTTTTGGAGGTTCAGTGTAAATAAATTAAATTTAGGCAAGAATTTCACAAGGAAGCTGAATGGGAGGCTAATGTGTTTTCTGACCTGGTCAATCTGACCTAGATATGTCAGGTCATCCAGATATGAACTGTAACTTCCACTAGCCTTTGACCAGCACAAACCATAACTCCTAGCTTTTTCTGAAATGAAATAGAAGTCAGCACTTGAGCCAATTTTGAGGCACTGAAAATGGAAATTTCCAGATTGACCAAAGTTAGCATACATAAAAGCTACAAGAGATTTAAAAGAATGCCCATTTGGGTCAGTTTATAGACTGAAATGTTTATAAGAGAAAATAAAATAAAAAATTTTGGACATAATAAATATTAAACTAAATAGTTTACTGAATTCTGCAATTAGAGTCATCGTATTTGCAAAGCTATGTGTCAGAAGTTGTAGTTTTCACCTAGTTACAGCATTGTTTACTATATATTTGATGATATCTAATAGATATGTGGTAAAAACAAGTCATAATTTTTAATTTTTTATGACCAAATGATAAATCAAAAGCCAGATATCATGAATATTACTTTTTAAACTTTAGAAGACCTGAAAAGTAATCATACATCCAAACTGAATTGCACTCAGACCCATATCTTGACCCCAAATTTACCCATCTCTTTTTAGTTATAAATCAACATAACCCATCATATTATAGTTCTCAAAAGTTCAACCAAAGTTTTTTTTTTAAATTTTCTCCCCTTCTTCAAAATGTAAAAATCTTCTAATACACTATGGAATGTTGGGACGTTGGTACACTGGGTTCATCATGATTAGACTTCAAAGAATTCCGTTCTCTGTTTAGATAAAATAAAACAAAATAAGAAAGCAAAATAAAAAATTTCTCAGAAAACAAAAGATAAAAGATTTCAAAACATTGTGTCATATATGGAGTTCTAGACTATAAATTCTTGTTATATTATAATAATGCATCTTTTTAAGAAAGGGTAAAATTTTGAACTAAGTTGGCCTCTTCTACTTTCTTAATGCATGTCTTAATATTATACTCTAAAGACAGTCTTAATTACCCCAGGAAAGGAAAAACTATAGAGAAATAACAGAATAAGTAAAAGGAGACAAAAATAAAGAGCTGGAAAAATAAAAAAAGAGTGTGGGAGAACAGTAATATTAGATAGTTTGGAACAAGAAAAAGTAAAAGATCTAACCAATATACTGTAAACTTGAAACTAATAATAAAATAAATTTTTTTAAAAAAAGTAAAAGAGTAGAGCTGTGAAAACAAAAAATTTAATAAACTGAAAAAAGAGCTAAAATAGTAAAGAAGAATAGAATCACAGAATGATTCTCATTGTTTTTAATCTAGAAAAAGAGATCTAAGAAATCATCTGCTATAACTATTCAACTACATACACAGCTCTATGCAACTATTCAACTATATATACATCTTATTCAACTACCTATACCACAGCTATATACAACTATTCAACTACATATATAACTACATACAACTGTTTGACTATAGTTATATACAACTACTGCACTAAACATATAGCAGCTATATACAACTATTCAACTATATACACGACTATATACAACTATTCAACTTAATATACAGCAGCAATATATAACTATTCAACTACATATACAACTATATACAACTATTCCAAAAAAAAAAAAAAAAGGAAGAGAGAAAGAAATTATCTGGTTCATGTCTCTTCCTTTTTTTTAGACAAACAACAGACTCTTAAAGTTACACAGCTAATTAGAGCAGAATGAGAACCCTGACTTAATTTTTTTTTCCAGTCCAACAATATTTCTATAACATAATGAAGGAAGAAAAGATATCCTAAACACAAATAGGCAAGAGAATATATTCTTTGCTTTGCTTTTTCTACTTGCTGTGAAAGATTTGAGCTGAATAATTCAAACTCTCTTCTGGTTCCTTAAAATTCAAGGGCATATGCATAAATATTAAGAAGAACAAGAAAATAAACAAAACTGAAGTCATGTTTTAGGGAACTGAAACATACACTTCTAAACCCAGTCATGTGCACTTCTAAATTAGACTTTCTAACTCAGAACTGCACCAGCTCTTCCACACTTCTGCAAGTCCATTCTAGGAACATCAGAACACTCTGCTACAGACCTGTAAGGATAGTGTTCTTTCCAGGAGTCGTTGAGCTTCTTTGGAGTCCTAGAGCAAGGTAAAGAATCTAGGATAGTCTTTGAATCACTAGGAAAAATCCATTTTGTTTGAGCTTTAACATTCCTAAAGTGCTTGTTAAATGGAGCATACTTGTGTGAAAATTGACATAATTTAGACAACAAAGGAGCACAGTTAGATTTTTTAAAAACAATACGGACAATTTGAAATTAGAGGAAGAAAATCATAGATTAGGCAAAAATGTTAAAGAAAGGGGTTAAAAATGATTAAAGTATTTTAAAAACTGTGAAATTTGTTAGAAGAAAAGCAAAGCTATTGAATTATTACAATATATTCTCCTACAACAAAAATCCAATCTTTAAGATTCTGATTTTTATTTTTATTTTTTTAAGATTTGGATTTTTAAAGTATCAAGAAAGATGGTAGAGGAGTAATCTGATTCAAGATGGCAGATTGAACGTATATGTTTTTCTTTCATCTCTGTAGAAACTCTGTTACAATGAAAGTACATGAATAAAGCAAAATATATCCACAACAAAGAAGATAATCTGAGCAGACTAAGAGGGACTAAGATTTGGAATTCATTTCTA